TGACAGGTTTGTAATTCAGGGCAGATTTTGAACCATTTTTTGTGATGATGAATACCACGCCAATCTTCTTCGATTTGTCACTCCTGGCATAGTAGATGATATGGTTATCTGATTCAAAATGGCCAAAACCAGTCCATTTTAGCTCACTAATGTCTAGTATATCGATCTTTATCTATTCCATTTCATGTTTGACAACTCCCAATTTTCCTACATTCACACTCTGTCCATTCCATGTTGTGATTATTAATGGATGTTTACAGCTGTTTCTTCCCATTTTGAGTCATGCCTCATCAGCAAATGGGGATCAGGAAAGCTTTACTGCATCCACATCATTAAGGTCAACTCTACTCTCAGGAGGCAGCTCTCCCCCAGTCATATTTTGAGTGACTTTTGACCTGAGGGCTCATCTTACAGCACTATATCAGACAATGCTTCAGGGCTATTCATAAAGTTTGCCTGTAATATATCAGACAGTGTTTCACTGCTATTCATAAGGTTTTCACTGGCCAATTCTTTAAGAAGTGGATGGCCCCGTCCTTCTCCTAAGTCTGTCTTAGTCTTGAAGCTCTGCTGAAACCTGTCCACCATGGCTGACCCTGTTGGTATGTTAAATAACAGTTGTATTCCGGTATTTCAAAAACCAAGTGTGGGCTGGGCCGTTGGTACCCTTGTCTCAGGTCATAGTTACTGGTTCAAGAATAGGAGTGTGACTAATACTGGGCCAGAGTACATCCAAGGATTTTTTTACAGCTGAGGCCAGTGGGAAGACTTCTAGGTATATAGCTGGAAGTAGGTAAACCTGAGGGTGCTGTAAGCCACATTCCTGACTATGAAGAAATGTGTCTATAAAGGACAAGATGACTCCAAAAGGAGATAAGAAAAGATGAGAGAATGATAGAGAGGGGAGAAACCTAAAGTGCTGAATTTCCAGTTTCAGTCCCAGAAGTCCAAGGGCCACCTTAGTCCCCATGGTTCTCCCTTCAATCCCCGTATTCTCTTAAGGCATCCCCTTTGTTCAGCTTATGAGTTCCCTTCTTTGGGAGGCTTTTTCTGATATATTCAGGTCCAATGAAATGCCAATGCTACTGTGTTTTCAGGGACTCTTTTATTTTTAAAAATATAGCAACAGCAACAATCTATAAATGCCTACTATGTGACACCAGAAGAACTAGATAGTGTCTGGCTACCATTACCAACTGCTCTGAAAGGGAGCAGTTACTATCAAAATAGAAGGTCCTGGATTGAGTGGGAGATAAATGTGGAGCAAAACTCAAAATCAGGAAAATGACCAGGCTTTCTGGTCTAATAGAGACTGGTGGGATCTCTGAGAATTTGGCCCTTAGTCTTTCTTTAAGCCTAGAACTAAATTCACCTGTGTCTCTCAACTTTCAGCCAAACAGCAGACAAGTCTACTAGGTAGACAATAACACCAGGGTGCAACACACTATTTAGAAAAACATGAGATCAAAACAGCAACTTTTGCCCAGGAATAAAGCTCAGAAGCCAGGAACAGATAAGAAGGAAGGACAAATGGAAATGGGAAACACAAGGAGGAAGTAGGAAGTGTTCTGTTACATTGTGGGGCTTGTTATCAACGTCCCAAAATAAAATGTGTATGAATTGTTGAACGGAAAACCAATTTGCTCTGCAAACTTTCACTCAAATCACAATAAAAAGTTAAAATGTCTACTATGTGCTGGATGCTATGCTGAGGGCTCTGTGTATGTGGTTGTTGTTATGCGCCATTGAGTCACACCCGACTTATAGTGACCCCTCCTTGGGTTTCCAAGGTGGTATCCCTATGGAAATAGATTGTCCAACCAGTTAGCTGTATTAAAGCACGTAATAAGTTGCATCATAATAAATAATTTTATGCAAGTTTCTCTCAGTAGAAAAATGCATATAAAAAATTCTAGCTATCCTTCTTTGCTAAATAAAGCATTTTAATTTCAAATATATTTCAGCCAGTATATGTGCAAAAGATATTCTAGTTGTCCTTCAATATCTGTTCTACACAACGTCTCTAGTAAAACTATTTAAAATTTTTAGCTGAATTAAAGTTGACTTTTCCCAAGTCTGTCCTTGAAGGTAGGTGTGGGTATGTAACCAAGTTCAGCTTAATGGGATATAAGTGAAGGTGTAGTGTACAACTTCCTAGAATTGTGTTTAAAGTGAGACACAGACCCTTCTCACTCCCATCCCTTCGTTCTCCTGGCTCAAATGTAAATGTGAAGCCTGAAATTTGAGCAGCCATCTTGGATCAGAAGGGAGAAGTCATGGGTTGAGGATGATGCAGCAAAAAGACAGAAGAAGCCTGGGCCCTGATGATCATGGAACCCCCATACCTTCTCATCTTCACACCACATTTAGGTGAATGAGAAATAAAACTGTACATTATTAGTTGTTGTTGTTGTAATGTGCCATCGAGTAGGACCTGACTCATAGCAACCCCTCCTTAGGTTTCTGAGGTGGTATCATTACAGAAGTAGATTGTCCAACCTTCCTTCAGAGGAGTGGCTGGTGGGTTTGAACCGCCAGCCTTCTGGTTAGCAGTCAGGTGCCTTAGGCACTATGCTACCAGACCTCCTGTACATTATTAAGCCACTGCTATTTTGAGTTTTCTGCATTCCAAGTTGAATCTAAACTGATAAAATGAGATACTGTGTATTATAAATAAAACTAATATTTCCAGGTGTTTGGATAGACCAGTGAAGTTCAAGATATGTACCCTCTAATGTATATTGCAATATGAGAATACCATTTCTGGCCATGTTAGTCAGAGGCCATGCTTTATCCAGTGATACTGATTAATCTATTGTGGCCTGCAATGTCTTCATTCATTGAAAAAGGTAGCAGCTATTTACAACCAGAGGCCATCTGAAGGCAGTGGAAGCACCAATTATCTCAAAAGAAAGAAATGTTAGAAGAGTTGAAAAAAAAATTATCTCCTCAGATTACAGAAGAGCTAGACAAGCGGCCAAAAATTAAAAAAAAAAAAAAAAGTCAATAGCAAGAGTAAATCAGATTCCAATAAAATCCATCAGAGTAACTATGTTGTTGTTGTTATGTGCCGTCGAGTCGGCCCCGACTCATAGCGACCCCTCCTTGGGTTTCCGAGGCAGTATCACTACGGAAGTAGGATTGCCCAACCTTCCTTCCGAGGAGTGGCTGGTGGGTTTGAACCGCCAGCCGTCTGGTTAGCAGGCAAGTGTCTTAGCCACTATGCTGCCAGAGAGTAACCATGAGGAAGAGCATTTAAATAGTCTCAAAAAGAATACCCATAACATCCATTATTATTCAAGTCCAAACAATATAATAACAATAAACATTTGCACTTCACAAGTTCAGACTAGAAATTACCTTTGTACATTCTCTAAGAATAGAGTTAGATGAAAAATTAAAGGGCAAGTAAAGTGTTCAAACTAAGAAACAATGTGCTGTTGTTAATTGTGTGGGCATGTTTATTTTATCTTGCAAGGAATTTAGCTTAAAAGACTTTGTTTACATGCATTACATCCAATGTCCATCTATAAATATATGAGCCAGAATGGCTCCAGCAGATGTGAAGAACCGTAAGGACTATTAGCTTCACTTTGTGTGTGTGTGTGTGTGTGTGTGTATGTGTGTGTGTAATATATTCTTGCTATCAGTCTTAAATGAAAAATTGTAAAATCTCTCAATGAGGTCTCATTAGTTGACTTATTTTGCATATAAGAGAAATGAGAAAGCATGAGACCTTAAATATCTGTGCTACAACATAGGCCTTATCTAAAACACATGGATGCTACTGATTACAAATAAGCCTTATCTATTCATTAAAGCTGGTTGGGTGGGGCTTTTCCAGGATAATGCCATATACTAGTACTTTGTATAGGAGTCATACTGGTTCAACGGTTAAGCACTTGGCTGTTAACCATATGGTTGGTGGTTTGAACCCACTCAGCCGCTCTGAGGGAGAGAGGCCTGTCAATCTGCTCCTGTAAAGATTATAGCCTAAAAAACGCTATGGAGCTATGCTACTCTGTCACATGCAGGCTGTCACATGTGGTTACTATGAATAGAACCATCACCTTGATGGCACCTAACTCCAGTATTTTGTATGAGTTAATACATATTGGTTTACCTTAAAAAGGGACATATAGCCCGGGGCACACAAAACATTCCACATTTCTTCACAAATTCGTACCTTTCCCAGAATCAACATAAATAAATTTAATTTTAAAATTATAAAAAATGCTTTCAAATTCCAGGTCACTGAAATAAAATGGTCATAGGAAACACATCTTGAAGAGAACATCTCTAATTTTTCAGTTTGTCCAGGGTGGGTGTTCAGGCAAGAACTTGGCCGATGTTACCTCACCCACACTAAGGCTCTGATGGGTGCACAAAATGACCTTTAGGACAAAAGCGCAGGGCAAGGCTTCATTTGGGATAATACTGCACTGTTTTCTTCAGGCATTATTCCCTCAAGAAAACAAGCAGCAAGCTCTTTGGTATATGTAGCCATATATTGACAGATTGAATTTGCTCTTCAGAAACTAAAATTGTATCAAATTCAGATCTTCCATTCCTCAAAGGGCATAAAAGTTTGGGCAGGAGTGGGATACATGAGACAAAGATGATGTTGGTAAGACAAGTGGTAGTTGCCTTCAGTGCATGACATCTTTGGTCTGTGCCATTCCACCAAGTGGAACTGTTGTTATTTTTAGGTGTGAGATGCTGTTGATTTGATTTCAAATAGTGACTCCACATAACAGATTAGAATTGCCTCATAGGGTTTTATTGGCTGAAATCTTTATGGAAGCAGATCACCAGGTCTTTCTCCCGCTGAGCCACTGGGTGAGTTAGAACTGCCAACCTTTCAGTTAGCAGCCAAGCACCAGTGTACTAGTGGCACACTCTGTGTACCAGTGGAACAGTAGTGATCTTAAAAACAAGCAAATGTGTTGCTTTCCCACCTTGTCTACACCTCATTGTATAAAGAAGAAAATCCAAGTTACCTTTCTCATCTGAGCCAACAATCCTTCAAATTCCTTCAGGTTCAGTGTAGTTCCACTATAAGATGCACAGCTATTTGCTACTTTCCCCAGCCAGTAAATGGTAACTAATACCTGTGGAACAAAGCCATGCAAAGAGCAGAAGAAATTTTTCTCAATAATTACTTTCAAAGTAAGGAACTAATAATGTTTTACCAACAGGAAAGCAAAAAGGAGAGAATTCCAACACTGATTTAAAAAATCACCACCCATGAGGTATCCATTAAACGTAAAATCATTTTAATAAGGCCCTAATGCTGTTTTCGCTGACATAAACATAATTCAGAAGTTAAAATAAGATTTCAGTTTTAGGAGAAGTTAGGTTGTGAAAAAGTGACCTGAAGACAGTAAGAAGGAAAAGCAAATCCTCCAGAATTGTTTTCACATAATGAGGTTTCAAAATTTGCAGCAAAATTTTCCAGAAGTTCTTTGGAGTCTTTGCCAGGATAAGTAATAAAACAGACTGCCAATTCCTTTTGAGACAAGTGATTGAAGGTCTACAATTTCTATGTGTGGGCACAGAAAATCTCACTAAGACTGATGGCAAAAATGCCAAAGGAGTGACAAAGGTTAATGAATGGTTCTAAGAACAGGATCGACACAATTAATTGATATGCAATTAAAGTCAGAAGAAAGCAATGTAATGAAGAATACTATCTACAGATACTAGCTTTTGGATATAGTTAAAAACAAGAACTAGTTGTCTTCTAGTCCATCCTGACTCATGGTGACCCCATGTGTGTCAGAATAGAACTGTGCTCCACAGCATTTTTATGGTGGATTTTTTGGAAGTAAGTCATCAGGCTTCTGAGGCAGCTCTGGGTGGACTTGAACTATTAGTCTTTCAGCTAGCAGCCAAGTGTGTTATCTGTACTACCCCGGGAGTCCCTGGGTGGGGCACAGATTGTCATTAACTTGAGATGGGAAATTCTGAAGCCTTGACACAAGATTACTGCCAGTTAAACAACCTTGATGTTCAAGAACCAATACTCACTGGTGTGAAGCTACATTCCTAAGTTAATTTTGTTCTATCTTTCCATAGAAAGAGTTCACAAAAGCAAATATACTTTATATTGATTTTCCCACATAACCTAGCAAAAGTCAACCAAAGATGAGCCCCTTAAAACTGAATTACAGGAGTCTCAAGTCTATGTAAAAGTTAAGGTTATGATTTTATTTTCACATTTGGTCTTACTGCTTCACCTAGGCTAGGGAGCACTTGTACCTCCCTTCACTTACTAAGCCAGCAAATGGGTTGGACAACATGATATGTATATGTGACTCCAGGTGGCAATAGGCCCAAAATATGGTTAGGTGCATCAATGCCATGATGTGATTTGGTTTTCTACTTTTGTGGGAAAATTTTACTTCATGCATCCTTCAAAACTTCTAGAAAGTTTCTTAACTGATTGTTTACAAATAAATTTCCAGAGAACAGACTATTCAAAATACCAGGACATTAACGAGGAGCATAAAACAACTCCAGTACGCTGAGAGTAAGGGGCTATCTTGAAAGGAACAATGGGAGAGTGGGAGGTAGAACTATGCCATTTTTTTTAGATTACGTGTTTTCTGATTTATTTAAAACTTTATGGTGAAAAAGTTTTATAGAGGAAGAAAAAGAAGGTAAGAGAAAGAATAAGATTTAAATTTGAAACAGTAACATACTTGCCTTTTGAAAATGAGATCTAACTACAAAAAGCAGATTTGGAGAAGTACTAATAAAATTTTAGAAGATTAATAGGAAAACAAAATATAGAAAGTACAGGCCCACAATATCAACATTATACATATTATGCTGATCTTTCCACTAAGCCAATTTGTCCAACCATAATTTAATAATTTCATCCATGTCTATAAGGAAAAGTGCCAATGTTAGTGTTGAAACAGATAATTTTGTGTTGAAGGAATCAAATCACAAACAGAGCACAATCTTTCATTTCTTTATTTCTGGACTGAGCACTTAATTGGTTAAACAGAAATTCCCCAAATCTACTATTTTTCATTTCTTTTATAGTCAATAATTAGTCAGAGGCACATGCATTTGTTTTCCTATAGGAACTTTTTCCAGCAAGACATGTGATAACACACAAGACATTGAATTTGTAATTTAAATTTCAAATTTGAAACATCAAAGTCAGAAGGATAAAAGCTTAGAAAGTGAAGTTAAAATACTTACATTTCTCAGTTTTCTGCTATAATCAAGGCTCCTAGTTACGGGAAAAGAAAATACTATCAGAATTGCAATTCCTTCACTGTGACCATATCTTAAACACCTCTAGGATGTAACTGAAGCCAACAAACAAAACAACATCAGGAGAATATATTATTATTACTGTCATTATTGGTTTATGATTGGTGATTTCAGTTATCAAACAAAATTATTCAGAAAACAAAATGTAGAAGGACAATGTTTGGGATTAAGTTGAAAAGGTGAATGCTTTGTAACATCTGGAGAATGAAGAACTCACTTAAAACTGAGACTACACTTGTGTTCCCAAAGTTTAACCATTGAAGTAAAACTGTACCTTAATTATAGACTACTGACAAATTGAAATCTGATTCCATTTCCAAAGTCATGCAAGTCTTAAACTTTACTTAATTAAATAGATCTGAAAATAAGTATAGCAAGTAATAATTTCCAAACATTTGTTCTTTTCTGCTATAAATATTTGTCAAAAATCAGCCATAAGCACATAAACATGCATTCATGTGTGTTCAAATATATAATCATAAATAAAACAAGTCCACAGGAGCCAAAATACAACCTTGATTATATCTCACCTGAATTTAGAGACCATCTGGAGAATAGATTGAACATCAACGACTGAAGACCAGATGAATGGTACTATGACATCAAAAACATCATACATGAAGAAAGCAAAAGGTCAGTAGAAAGATAAGAAAGGAAGAAAAGACCAAAATAGATGTCAGATGAAACTCTGAAACTTGCTCTTGAGTGAAGAGTAGCTAAAGCAAATGGAAGAAATAACGAAATAAAAGATCTGAACAGATTTCAAAGGGGTGGCTTGAGAAGACAAAGTAAAGTATTATAATGAAATGTACAAAGATTGGGATTTGGAAAACCAAAACAGAAGACCATGCTTGACATTTCTCAAGCTTAAAGAACTAAAGTAAAAATCCCAGTGTCTAGTTGCAATATCGAAGATTTCATCAACAAAATGTTGAATGATACAGGAAACATCAATACAAGGTGGAAGGAATAAACAGTCATCATACCAAAAACAATTGGACAACGTTCAACCATTTCAGGAGATAGTATGTGATCAAGAACCAATGGTATTTAAGGAAGAGAAGTAAAAGCTGCACAGAAGGAATTGGCAAAAAACAAGGCTCCAGTAACTGACAGAATACTCATTGAGATGTTGCAACAAACAGACGCAGTGCTGAAAGTACTCACTTGTTTATGGTAAGAAATTTGGAAGAGAGCTATCTGGCCAACCAACTGGAAGAGATCCGTGTTTATGTCCATCCCAAAGAAAGGTGATCCAACAGAATGAGGAAATTATCAAACAATATCACAAGCAAGTAAAATTTTGCTGAAGATAATTCAAAAACAGTTGGAGTAGTATATTGACAGGGAACTGCCAGAAATTCAAGCTGAATTTAGAAGAGGATGTAGAACAAGAGATATCATTGCTAATGTCAGATGGATCTTGGCTGAAAGCAAAGAATACCAAAAATATGTTTATCTGTGTTTTATAGATTATGCAAAGGAATTCAACTATAAGGATCATAACAAATCATGGATAACATTGCAAAGATCAGAATTCCAGAACACTCAATTGTGCTCATGAGGAAACTGTACATAGAACAAGAGGCAGTTGCTTGAACAGAATGAGGGGATACTCCATGGTTTAAAGTTAGGAAAGGTGTGTGTCAGGGTTGTACCATTTCACGATACTTACTCAATCTGTATGCTGAGCAAATAATCTAAGAAGCTGCAATATGCCAAGAGGAATGTGGCATCAGGATTGGAGGAAGACAACAACCTGTAATATGCTTGCTGAAAGTGCAGATGACTTGAAGCCCTTAGAGTGAAGATAAAAGACTACAGCCTTCAATATGGATTACACCTCAGCGTAAAGAAAACAAAAATCTTCACAACCGGACCAATAAGCAACATCATGATAAATGGAGAAAAAACTGAAGTTGTCAAGGATTTCATTTGACTTGGATCCAGAATCAATGACCATGGAAGCAGCAGTCAAGAAATCAGACATCATAGACTTCTGGAAAGATGGTGGAATAAGCAGACAAGCTACACAGACCTTCTTCAACAAAGAAAAGAGAAACCAATTGACGCAGATATAGAAGATAATCTTGAAAATCCTGAGCTTTGAAAGGAAGGATATAGAAGTGGATTAACTAGTAGAAGAACCTGAATGAAAACAGTAAGTGAGGAGACAAATGGAGTTGCTGACTGTCAGCTGTCTTGATGGGACAGACAGCCTAAATATTTCTGAGTGGTGTTGGGACCTGAGAATTGACCTAAAAATTGGACCTGCTCACCAGGACTACTGCACGGGTAGCTGATAACTGAAAAGGGAAACAGCAAAGAAGGAGACAAACTGAGCTGTGGACTTTTGGCTGTCCAGAGGGCATAGCCATTTTGAATATTTAAAAGTGGCAGCTGGGCACACCCATTTAAAATGTTTATAAGTGGCGGCCACATTGGATATTTAAAGTGAGGGCATTTTCGTTCAGATTCCAGGGACCTAAGAATAGACTACACTTTTCAAAGACAGCATGGACATACAGAAGTCTGACAATTGGAAAGGAGACAGGTGGTGAGTGTGTAAGTGCTGCCAACTAGTGAATAGAGGAGCATAGTACCCTGCTTACTCAGATACATCCAAACAAAACAAAGAAAATGAAAATCTTGGGCAAATAACTCTAAAATACAATTACCAAGTAAATATAAAAAGAAAAACAT